ACACGCTGATCCTGCAGGACCCGGGGCCCCGCAGGTTTCAGGGGCCCTGAAGGCCGCAGCGAGAGGGGAGCCCCGCACACAGGGGACCCCTCTCCACAGAAATGGCCCCCACACCTACACCATCCACGCCCCCACTCCTGGCCCCGCGGCCACACACAGGCTCAGGTGTTCTGCGCCCGCACACGGACAGGGCACCCCTGCACATACCAACCCTCTCCACGCACACGGGACCCGCGGGCACCGGCACCTGCACAGCCGGAGCCCTACGTGCACACCAAGTCCCGCACGTGCCCATCGGCCAGGCACCCCCACAGTCCCCACACCAACAGGGGACCCCACGCAATGACCTCTGCATGGCCCGCCCCACAGAATCTGCGCACAGATAAGACCCCACAGCAACACTGAGTCCCCCCGACACACACACCGGGGATCCTGCAAGTACTGACCACATGGGACAGGGGACCCCATTCACACCCCACAGCGCCTCTGCATGCACACACAGACCACTGTGCCTGGGCCGCCTCCTGCTGGTCTCAGTCGCCTTCCCCCCACCCCTCCCCACCAGTCCCCGTTGTCCCAGGATCATCCTGTCCCCAAACACTCAGCAGCTCCCCACCCAAGCCCGCGGGGGGCGTGGGTCAGACCAGTGCCCAGGCCACCGCGCTGCCGTGGGTCACCTGGCTGGGGGGGAGGGGACCCTGACCCAGCCTGGGCTAGGGGGGTGTCCCACAAAAAGACAGGAACTTTGGGGTCAGCCGAGCAAACTAGGGAGGGAGGCGTGGCTTCCAGGCCAGGATAGAAGCAGCCGGGGGCGTGGAGGGGGCTGGGCTCCCCTGTGCCTTAGACAGAGCTTGGCCTGCTGGCCGCCCAGTGGTTTGAGCAGAGCGATGGGGACGGGACACCCCACCCCGGGGGTTGTGGTCCGGGCCTGGGCCCAGAGGATGGAGCCAGGGGTGCAGGGGGCAAAGGGGGCGGGGGGGGGGTGAGGGGGATGGGCTCTGGCCAGGTGACCTTGCTAGGCATCC